CCCCAAAACCCCAAAACCCCAAAACCCCAAAACCCCAAGGAATCAATTAAAAGAAGATATGAGGATACAGAAATAAATTGAAAAGCGTAGGGACTTTAAATATAAACTATTCTATTCACCAATCTAGAAAAGGGTCATCTTTCTTTGATACTTCCGGTGACATCGTGTCAGAGTCGGGGTACTCAGAGAAATTAGAGGTGTCACCTGCCTTGCTTATTTGTGGGATGTATGGAGCTGGCACCTTACGTTATGATAATTTATACCAGTCAAGATTCTTAAACCATCTATGATTTTTAATGTCGTTTGCTCCGTTCTTCAAGCACCCGTACCTTTTTGTGACATCTGCTACCAATAAATGTTTTACTAAACTCTTAGCATTTCTATAAGAAAAAATTAAATTAATATATGTCTCAGAGTATGTAAACGAAATAATATTATCCAACTTCTGTCCTATGCGCAAATTATAGAGATATTCGATGCATGCATTTTAATTATTGCAATGTACAACAATAAATTATTTTTTACCGAATGATATCGAGAAAAGTTTAAATATGATCGGTTTGCATGCAGAATTACTCTCTGTTGAGTTTTTAGTCAACAAGAACGATCAGTGTAAGAAATTGGATAATTTTATGTTATCTCGGTACGTTTGAATTAATACTTACTTATCGAAATCACGAGGGAACTTAATCTTGCCTTTCAGAATCTTTTAATAAATGGCCATAGGATCATCATCATTAAAAGGGTCAATTCCAGCGATCATTTCGTATGTTAGAATACCTAAGGTCCACCAGTCAACTGGTTTTCCGTGCCCTTTATTGAGAAGAACCTCAGGAGCGAGATACTCTGGGGTTCCGCAAAGAGTGTAAGTTCTGGTTTCGCAATACTTAGCAAAGCCAAAGTCAGTCAGTTTCAAATACCCCTCCTCGTCAATCAAGATGTTTTCTGGTTTCAGATCTCTGTAGATGATGTTCTTCGAGTGCAAGTACTCGAACATCAAGCACACCTGCGATGCGTAGAACCTACATCAACAATTTAACATTCCTCCAATCCTTACTGAGCGTGCTCCGAACTTAATTTTCCCTCTGTTCTCAAATAAGTGAAAAGTTCACCACCGGGAATGTAGTCCATCAAGAAATACAAATACCTTTGATCCTGTGAAAATCCTTTTAATCCTACCTACATACATAAGATTCAAGAAAATACAAGGAAAGGATGATCTATATCGGCCAAAATAGTATTCTCTGATATAACGTGATCAACTTATTTCAATTTAATAATATCTGCCTTCTTGAGAATCTTCATAGCAAAATATTCGCCTGTTTTTTTATTTCTGGCTAGTCTGACACGACCGAATGATCCTAAATCAGTCACTTTTTTTTAAACTAACCTGTTCCTAGTGTGGTAGTCAGATCATAATCATTTAATGCTACTTTTTTCTTTGAAGCCATTTCTTTAATTATTTATCAAAATAAAATCAATCTCTTTATAATTTAAAGATAATTCAATTTAAACATTCTGAATGATCTGTCTAATTTTCAGATTAAACAGGGGTTCCC